AAAGCCACTATGATCGTGACTTTTTTTTTTTTTTTCAAAGTTCGATGGCTCCGTTCTATTCGTGGGGAGCTGCACCTGCTGGAAAACGGGTCCAGCGTCCCATTCATACATAAATCCAAGATCCATGGAAAGAACAGTTCTGCTACACAATAGTTCCAGCAGGTCTTCTAGACCTCTTCACCCCAAGGCGCCAGAAAATAGTGACTAACCAGTCCTTTGGACCTGCTGAAGCTCAGACTCAATCATGTCTGTCAGGTTGGTCCCAGGAGATTTCAGTGGAGGATGTTGTTCTCGAGCTATCGAAGATCTGTACTGGAATTCTCCCCTCTTCAAGGCGGGCACGGGCCCATCAGCCATGGCTCAATGCAAATACCCCGAGCAGACAACCTCAACATACGCATCCTCTCACCCCAGGATCTGAAGAACCAGAGCCTGGTGCTCCTTTTGTTCCGGCCCCGGTTAGCCTTCCTCCAGTCCGCCCATATGAGGGCCCTTACGTTCACTAAGATGAGGTTCATAATGACGGGGTCCGAGTAAAATTTATTGCGGAAGAGTCTATCATTTCTCAATGTCCAAATAGTATGCATAATTGCCGCTCTGCACGAGATGGCTATATAACTCCAGCCATGTCCCACTTCTCGTGCATCGGCAACTATCCCTTCCACGACAAAATGCTCGTCCCACTCTATCCTCACTCCCACATGCTTGTCCCATAGGCTCTGCCACCACCTCCATATCCTTTTGGATTCAATACAATCCCACCATAGGTGTGTGGCAGACTCCTCCTTCCTCCTACACCTACAACACACGGCCTCAACATCCAACCCCTTCCTTGCCAGACCCATTGTTGTAGGGACTGCTCTATGTGACTGCAACCAAACAAGACTCCTGAATTTAACCGACAAAATTTTCCTCAGCTCCCGCCACATTTTCCTCAAGGACGCTGATGTGACCTTGGAGACAGGTGAGGACCTTTCTCTGGTCTCCGCAACCCATCTACTTTTAACTTCCAGCGGCAGAACAGAAGATCTAATTTGCTCCCTGTATCCTGTTCTGGGTTTATAATCCAAAAGGTACGTTTTATTTTCTAGTATGCCGTCCTTCCAGCCTATGTGCAGTGGCAACACAGGTAACCTGTGTGCAGGTTCGGTGCCAACTGGGCATTCATGTGTAATTTTGTCCTTGTCTGTTATTTTTTCTCTCACAACCACTGATACTACCTTAGGATTGAGATGAGCTACTTGTTCCTCAGATGGTACGACCTGAAGAACAATATTTCCCTGAGCTATCTCTATGGCACATGGCTTTATGATCGCATCTTGGGCGTCCAGCAACATTACTACTTTGGAAATTTGCACCTCTCTATCAATGTTCTTATACCTAATCCAGTAACCTTCGCAGGCCTGGACTGGGGCCTTCAAAATTTGTTTCCAGCACTTTGGGACACTAGCAATCACCATCTGCACCCTTTCAGTAACATTGTGCAGATGATGAAGGTGGGTTTTTAGCTCATACATAGATCTCCACTGCTCCAACTCTGAATCCCACATATCTGTCACTTTAGATACCCCCCGTTGTATCCAGGATCGACCAAAGTGCCCGGGGGAGTCCGCAGCGGACCAGGCAAAATCAAACTCATCCAACAGACTTGAGTTTTCAAAAATCCTCTGGGCTCGAACCTCCTCTCTAGTACTAGGGGGTTCCAATGAGGAAGGCATAATCCGGCCCCAAGCTGCAAGAATGCCCTTCCATATTGGTGAGTTTATATTGCCGCGGACAAAGGAAGGAGTCATGAGGGCAACCCATACATCCTCTCTCTGAGACAACATCCATTCTTTGGATAGAATATCAATGGTCATTTCCACCCATGGGTGTTCATTTTTTTCTACTAACAACTTAACTACCCATCTAGCTAGAAGTGCGTTTATCTGAGATTCTGGGTCCAGAACCCCCAGACCCCCATCTTCTTTGTCTCCAATGATCTTGCTCCATGCAACCTCGGCCACATATGTAGTATCCTCTTCACTTGCGCCCTTCACAAGCGGTTATCGGGTAGCTGAAAATTTAAGAATTAAAATTCTGAAGTGAGAGTTTTGGGCAGTCTGAAAATCCTGAATGGTTTTGAAGTGGTGAAAGGTCCGAAGACCCTGAAAACCATTTGTTTAGGCAGTTTGCATCCTGAAGTGGTGAAGGGTGTCCTGAAGTGGGCAGGCTGAAAATCCTGAATGGTCCTGAAGTGGTAAAAGGTTCGAAGACCTTGAAAACCACCCTTCACCACTTGAGGATGCAGCCTGCCTAAACAGGTGGTTTTTAGGGTCTTCAGAGCTTTCACCACTTCAAAACCATTCAAGATTTTCATACCTGAATGGTCCTGAAGTGGTGAAAGGTCCGAAAACCCTGAAAACCACCTGTTTAGGCAGGCTGCATCCTGAAGTGGTGAAGGGTGTCCTGAAGTGTCGGTGAAAAATACGACTGTTGTTAACCTTCTCTCGTGCCCTTCCAAAGATACTTAATGGAGAGGGATCTCAGTCGCTTGTATGTCTGCCTTTCCAGGCCTCTAAGGGACCCTGGATACCATGCAATGGAGTAAACTGATGTATTCAAGACTAGGGCCCTACCTATGATGGAGATGCCCTTGACTGAAGAGATCTGATCGAGTCTGATCATGACTTTTTCCTACAAAAAAAAAACAGAAGTAAATCCATTTTCTCCAATACTACGTCCCTTACGCTTGACCACTCTCCGTTGAGTTAGGGTTGGACCCCACAGCCACGCAGACGATTTTCGTCTTTCCCACCGCCGACGACAATTTTCCTTCGCCAGCGGAGAGACGGAGTTGGAAGGGATCCCACCGCGCCCGTTTTTTTTTCCATCCCCGGTCGTTTCGGTTTCCCGAACAGGAAAGTGGCAGAGGACTTTCCAATTCGGGCAAGGCGTTATGGGCGTTCGGTGGTGCTGCTGTGGACCTGGGTACAAGACGCCATTCCACGCCGCTGTCCTTGGGCGACGTTGTGTGGCGTGTGGCATCGTGGGTGGGCAACACCCGACAGAAGGGGTCGACTTCAGTTGGGGAACCGATGCAGCCCTTTTGTGACCGTTTGTCACGGCCGTTGCGGGCCGGTTGTTCCAGGGGACATTTCGACCGTTATCGACCTCCTTGTTTGTATCCACGGTGGAACCACGGGATTCCACGGTCCCACCTGGGAAAGGGCGAAGGTGATGTGGGGTGCAACTAGCATGCTCTCTCGGAGTCCGTGGCTGTTTCGGGCAACGCACCCGTGTTCGTCACAGTCGATATATCCGCCATAGCCGATCGTTGTTGAAGGTCGCGCCTACGGATCGGGGTATCGCCGCGGTTGCATGTCTCTGTCGTCTGCGACATAGCTCTGTGTTTCAGGGGGGGGGGGGGGGGGGGGGGGGGGGGGGGTTCGGTGGTATTGGGAGACGTTGTGCGCCGTTGTGAAGCCCATGGACATCGTTGTGGAAGACGTTGGGCAGGGCAAGGTGTGGTAGGCGACAATGAGGTTGACAATTACGACCATTTGTTCATGGTTGTTTTTATTGTTATACAGTTGGTGATGCAGCGGAACAGGGTGGCTCTTGCTGTTCTCAATGCAGCGGCTTCATCCTGTTCAGCTGCACACCCTGAAATGGGGGAGGTTCTTCTGCTCCTCGCTGAGGGCTTCGTGCACAACGTTTCCCTTGTGTCCGCCGTCATGGAAAGGGTGAACAACCGACGGAGGAGACGATCCAGGAGTATGTGGGTTCTGGACTGCCATGGGGGGACGTGGAAAGATCTCCAGAAGGTCGGTGAGGCTCATAACAAGGTCTTCGTCTAGTTCTGCAGACTCCCTCGACCTCTCTTCTATGGAGTTGCACAGCGAATAGCGCCACACATTCAGCAGAAGTTGACGAACAGGAGGCAGCCAATTCCAACTGCACAGAAGTTCGCGTGCGCGTTGATCAGATGGGCCACAAGAGGCTATTACCGGCAGACGAGCCACGAGATGGGGATGGGGCTGGCGAGTGCGTTGAGGAGAAACGAGGACGTTGCAGACGCCCTCATCAAGGAGTACGGCCACCTCATAAGGTTCCCTGAAGGACGCCGTTTGCAGGAGGTGATGGATGCGTTCGAGAGGAAGGGTTCCCAGGGTGCGTGGGTGCGATTGATGGGACACATCTATACATCGAAAAGCCAAAGAACGAGCGGGCAGAATGCTACTACGACAGCACGAGGCAGTTCTCGCTTGTGGCGCAAGTGGTGTGCGATCATGAGTGCAGGATCCAGGATGTTTTCGTGGGGTGCCCTCGATCGGTGCATGATTCATGTGCCGTTCGCATATCGCACCTTTACAGGTATGCGCAGGATGGGCGTGGGATATTCCATGGTGGCACATCCTTTCTTCATGACGGCACACCTGTCCGCCGCTACGTTCTCGGGGACGCAGGGTACCCATTCCTGCCTTGGCAGATGACACTGGTTGGAGGAGACGAGCGCACGCCCCAAGAGGTGAATTTTGATGATTGCCACACGTCGGCGAGGAGTTGCATCGAACGCACGTTCGCACTTCTGAAGGGTGTGTGGCGAAATTTCTTGAGGCGGCAAATCGGCAACATGAAGACGATCATGAAGGAGTTCATGGCCGTCTGCATCTTGCACAATATGATGGTCGACATGCGAATCAATGTCGACTTGGATGACCTTGACTCGGACGACGACGACGATCAAGCAAACTGTGGAAACTTTCGTTGTCGACGGCGTCCGCGTGTCCAGCAGGCTGTCCAGCAGCCCCTGAGGAACCGTCGGGACGGCTTGTACGGTACCGCCGAGGGTAGGGCGGCGAAGGCGAGGCTCATCTCGCACGTCAATCACCATGTGCGGGTGCATGGCCGACCACCTGCCGACCTCTGGAGACAAGCGCGAGCTGCGCCATAGACACAAACAGGAAACGACGACGGAATGTTCTCTCTCTCTCTCTCTCTCTCTCTCTCTCTCTCTCTCTCTCTCTCTCTCTCTCTTTCTCTCTCTTTCTCTCTCTCTCGCCGTAGATAGATAGATAGATAGATAGATAGATAGATAGATAGATAGATAGGTATGTAGGTAGGTAGGTAGGTAGGTAGGTAGGTAGGTAGGTAGGTAGATAGATAGATAGATAGATAGATAGATAGATAGATAGATAGATAGATAGATGGATAGACAGATAGATAGATAGATAGATAGATCTGTCTATCCATCTATCTATCTATCTGTCTATCTATCTATCTATCTATCTATCTATCTATCTATCTATCTATCTATCTATGCATCTACCTTTCTTCCACCTGCGTATCTGACTATCTGTCCACCGATCTATCTATCCACCGATCTAACTATCTACCTATCTATCTGTCTATCCATCTGTCCACGCATGGAGCCTCTCCAATACATATGTGCGAGGGCATGTGCGTTTGTCAAAATCAGTCAGGCAATCTGCGTAGCACGGTGGTTGCACATGCAGACAGGAGGTCATGCTGTCATGAACGATATCAATTGGCATTCCAATGAGATTTCCGCGAAATCACTTTTCAACTGTGTGGTAGTTGGTTTGAATTTCATTTCTCTCGTTTTTTTCTCTGTCTTTCGCAGTGTTTCTCATTCGTGATGCGAATGTCTTCAAAACTATCACGAACCGATGCTTTCATGAACGATAGCGATTGCCATTCCAATGATATTTCTGCGAAATCACTTTTCAACTGTGTGCTAGTTCGTTTGAATTTCATTTCTCTTGTTTTTTTATTTGTCTTTCGCAATGTTTCTCATTCGTGATGTGAATGTCTTCGAACTTGTCACGAACCGGAATGTCTTTGAAAGTGGTTGGCATTCATGATGTGAATGGCATTTGTGATGTGAAATGTTCGTAATGCGAGCAACGAATAGGCGGTGATGCAGCTTCAAAACGTGCTCATACTTTCATCACATTCAATCGTTTATCAATGGCAGAAGCAGATATGTACAAGCGAAGATGTATATGCATATACATAACGAATGCAAATGTTGACGAGAAGCGACAAGCCAAAAAAACGATATTATTTCGAAAGTTCGAAAAAATGACGAGAACAGACGGCAAGAAAACGAAAAAGACCACACACACGCATCCGCCCTCAAGCAATGCCGCACCAATTATAGACCGGCAGACGAACACAATTATTGTTTCTCACAACGAAATTTTTTCCTTCTTCCACTCCGTTCTCACAAAAATCCCCAAAACAAGGCGCTCAAAGCACCAACCAACATCGACAACGGCCTCGTTTCGGGCATTGTTTCTCACACGAATACTACCACGTATCCAACCGGCGGTGCATCGTCACAACATGCTTGACACGTGGTCGTTTTGACACCCATGCCGACAAAACAACAACTACGCAGTCAGGGGACGATTGCTTCTCGCTGCGGCCCGCACACACACACACACACACACACACACACACACACACACACACACATACGACGATCGAGGTTCATGACTTTAGGGACATTACACGTCGTCGGCGGCCCACTGCTATCCTCCTCGACTGCCGTAACAAAAAAAAGAAAAAAAGAAAAACCAAAAAAAAACAACGGTCGACAGATCACCGAAGCACACGACGGTGACTCAAATGCAGACGTGGCAGCACATCTTGTCGTCACAGTGCGGGGGATCTCCTCCCTTATGTGCTGCCATGTCATCTTCCAACCTCTGCACACCCAACATACCCCTCGCAGCGGAGCAAGCAACGACCGACAAATGACCCGTGGCCCAAGCGACAACCTACATATCACCCTCTAACTGCTCCATACCCAACATGTAGATGGCCGATTCGCCCTCTAATCGCGCGGCGGCAACAAATCTGTGGAAAACCCATCAGCGGGAGCATATCTGCTGATGTGGCAGCATGGCATATGATGATCTTGCGGGGTTGTCCTCCCTTCTGCGCTGCCGTGTCACTGTGCAACCGATCCACACCGAAGAGAAAGATCTGTGAATCGACGTCCACGCAAGCGTGCTTCCCGAAAATGCCAGGGTGGTAACGTCCTAACCACCTTCGTGCATGACGCAACCGCATCACATCTTTCCTTGCGCTTCATCGCCGAACATGCAACACTCCCCTTCACACTCACCACCGCCGACGCGCAGCCTTCAGATCGTCATCAGGACACCACGACTGCACAGCGCCGCGCAAGTACTGCCTGCCCCGGAGAGGGGGCTGCACGTGCGCCACGTAGAAGGCATTGTCGTGAAGCGCAGCCATGTGTTCATCAGCTATGGCGGACACCAGGTATCTAACGATGTCACAGACGACATCACGTTCTCGGAGACGCCAGTCGTCGGGGACGACTTCCGACAGCTTCTTCACGTTGAGGATGACGTCCACCAGGTTGCCTTCCTTGTCGTACCCGACACCGCCATCGATCTTCATCGCCACAGTCCCTTCCACGAGAACATAGTGGACACGACTATGGAGATCAGCCGTGTCAGGGCTGAAATCCATCCGTCCGCGAGGGTGGCAACGACGCTCCAACTTCGATTCCTGGATGACGACGGTTTTCCCGCCCACGATCTCCCGCACCACCTCCTCGACCCCCGCCATCTCTCTCTCTCTCCCTCTCTCTCTCTCTCCCTCTCTCTCTCTCTCCCTCTCTCTCTTTGTGTGTGTGTCGGTCGGTCGCTCGCTCTCGCTCTCTCCACGACTGGTGTGCACACGCACTCGGAAGGGGGCTTCGGCTCCAGTCAGCACAAACCAGCAGAGAGACAGGCACGGGCGATCTCATGTCGTCACTCTGTCCAATCCGTGAATTTATAGCTCCGGACGAGGGCAGAAGATCCCACCCGCAGTCGGGATTTGACGACCAGCCCCCCCTCCCCCACAACCCCCCCCCCCTGTGACTAGCCACCGTGGTGTCGGACCCGACACGACCCCTTCAATTCACCGATGGATGCGCCAATGCACGAGCAGTGACGGTCCGCTGACGGATGTGACAACCCCGTTATTTTAATTTTTTTTTTTCTACGTTCCTGTTTTTCTTCTACTTCCCCACATCACTACCCACCGCTTTGAAGGATCGGTGCTCCTACACCCCCCCGGTACTCCGCGGTCCGCCCGAATTTCAGGCACCCATCACACCAACGAGGAGCTGCATCTCACCCATGGCTGATGCGACTGCACCTATCTGCGTCGTCATTTTGCCAATGCTCCCGGTGACGATGGTCGCACCCTCCTTGTTCGCCTGAGCAATCGTCGCCGCAGCTCTATCCAAACCGTCCATGTACACACGTGTGGACTCAGCCATGGCAGCTCCCACAGACGACACAGAAGATGGGTCATCTCCAACATGGACTCTGCTGCCGCTGGTTCGCCTGAACTTCGACCTGCTTCCCGACGTGTCGGACCCTCCTCTGTCTAACCCTGCTTGGTCACCTGAACCTCCCCCCGTGCCTTCTGCTTCAGCTCCACCCATGGTGTCCGAGTTCATCGCTTCATCACACCTCCCAGACGGTCTTTGCAACATCCACTCCATTGCCTGCCAAAGACGTCGATCGAATGTGGCATAAAGACCTTCGGCCTCTCTCCCCTCTTCGGTCATATCCCAATACGATTGATGGCCTGACCGCCCCACCTTATCCACAAGCAGTTTCAGCTTCTGTCCCAGGTTAAACCATTTTTTCCTGCAGTCCTCAGCGGACCTCATAATCCCTTCCTCTTTCATGCGCTCGGACACCCACTCTTGTCTCTCCCCCTTCTTCATGCACTTGTGCCTGGCGGACGCATTTGCCATCATGGCGTCATCCTCACGTTGCCATTTCGCCAACACCAAGCACTCCTCCATCGTCCAAGGCACTATCTTTTTGGCAGGAGGTTTTCCTTTACGCATTCCCTCGTCAACTGTTGTCGGGTTGTCATTGGTCTCGTGCCCCCCTACGTCCTTTCCACTCCCACTCGCCTCCGTAGGGCACGAAGAGGAGGGTGGAGTACACCCTCCTCTGCCACGTCCTCCCCGTGCCGGTTGTCTTGCCCGACCGCTTTGTCCACTGCTGTCACTTGTGCCTTGTCGACCTTCACCTCGCCCCCTTCCCTCACCACGGCTGGCCGGTGGCAAGCCGGCACGCAAACGATCGACGGACTCGGACGACCCAGCCTCGACTGTGACCTGCTGGGGGGCTGCATGAGAGCACGCCTGCCCCTCACGCACACCACTGCCACTGTCCACGTTCGCCCCCGTCGTCGCTTGTGATTGCCCATGCCCCGGCGTTCCTCCCTGTGGCAATGTCCCCTGCCCACTCCCGCTTTGTGCCCCACGTCTCGATAAGTCATTCTGTCCATGGCTGTACACACCGCCATTCCACTGCTGGTTGGATGTCACCCCGTAACACCGCTGTGGTCCTGACAGATCGTCCATTGACATCCATCTAGGGAGACCACCGGAGAAAGGATCTTCGTACTCCCCGCACAGCGCCGCTGTGAAACTGCCTGCACCGATCGTGCTGCCCCCGTGCACGGGCATGTAAGCGGCAGTCGGTTGTGAGTACATAGCGGCAGACGAACTGCTGCGGCCGGCCACGCCCCCATGGTCATCTCGAGCATGGTAGAAAGGTACATGACCCGGTCGAACATCTCGGAGGCCGGGCGGATCGTTCCTCCATGACGGCAGTTGCCCAACAGCCGCGGGGAAGGCAGGAGGGACACCGAACTTGTCAACGTCCTGACTCAGCATGGACAAGTGGGTGGATGGCGGAACGGAGTGCAAGCCTTGATACTGCACCGATTGTTGGGAACTCTGGCGAGAACGTCCCATACCTTCGTTTTCGCCGTCCTCAACCCAATGTTGTCTGTCCATGCTCACAAAGCAGATGACAATGCAAAAACACCGTGACCTTCGTCCCCTACGAGAAACGGACGAAAACGGCAACGCAAAAGGCGAGAGCGAGGAGGAGAACAACACAGGCCAGGAAGATGGCAATGACAAGGATGACCGACAACCCTACCATGAAGAGGACTGTGGGATGAAGGGAAATGCAAGGACTACGGACATCTGTGGAGCTTGCTCCCCTTCCGCAGCAGCAACAGATATGACCTCTGCTGCCAGGCAGGTTGATCCACGGCGCCTCTGCCGTCGTCAATGCCGCAGACACACGTGGCTGCAGGGTCGTCGGCTGTTGTGCTGCTGAACCAGTTGTGGGTGGAAACTGACGTGGCCGGAGGACACGTCGGGCCGGAACGGGGGACTGGGAAATCGGGAGATGACACCGACCAATGGCCGATGCGTAATGAGCGACGAGCCTGCAACGTGGCACGCATGCAGGTGATGTTCTCGTCCGTCTTGAAGGGATGACGCCCCTCACGACGATGTCCTCACGAACCTCACTGCAGATGGGCGGGACTCGGGCTGCCACATTCGGGAGACCGCCGCCGCGCACGCCGGCCTTGTTGCTCGTACCATTGGCAATCGGAGGAAGCAGTCGATGTCCAAGGTACGCTCCGCAAGCTGCTCCTACAGCCCGACGATGTGGAATGTGCGGTGACAGGGCCGCTAGGATTGCATGAACCCTTTGCATGCCTTCGGACAGCCTGAGGTATGGCGCTTGGAATGATCGTGGAAGGTCGGCAACGGCTGCCCGGCTTGTTGCTTGCATGGGACATGCACGAGACAGTCGTCGTTCGAATGGTCGATGCAGCAG